GAAGAGGAGATGGGTGGAGGAGGGGAAACAGACGCTGGGCAGCAGCTTATGAAAGATAGATGAAGAGAAGAAAGAGGAGACAAAAGGGAGTAGGAGGAACACCTTTAGAGGAGGACTTCAGACACACACACACTAACACCCATCGAAACATGTAAGCACACAAACACACACACACACACACACACACACACACACACACACACACCCATATAGCAGGACAAAACAGCAGTTTGCTTTTTCTCCTCTGTTGTCCCAGACCAGCCAATCAGTGAACACCACAGTGTTCCTTGTGTGGCTATGCATGGTTTGGGTTAGCATTAGCATAGCCACTGTTAGTTTGTGTGTGTATGTGCTAACTAGATAAAATTACATTTTAAAAAAACTTAATTTTAGGAGAAATTATTTTGGGTTTTTTATAGTAAGTGCAAATAAAAAAGACCTAACTTATCATATTTGTAATTTTCAAATAGTTACTATTTTGTAAGCGAGGTTCTGGAGTCTATATGACTAGTCTTCATAAAAAAAAGAATCAATCCACAGAAAAATAAAAATGGTACGGTTCTTGTAGGGTCAGGAATGCAGCCCAGAACAATAAAATTCTTCCTTGCTCATCCATCTGATATGCATGACGACAAGATTTGTTCGGCCTGTGACAACCACTGCCAGAGGCTGACTACAGGGTTCAAAACAAAGTCATATTCCACACTTGCAAATTCCTTTGGGAGAAAAAGTCCGTTGATGTAAACTGTTGCTACTCCAAAACCGCCTTTATTCCCAAAATATGCAAACTATATTCCACAAATTCTCCAATCTAAACTTTAAAATTTATTTTTACAGTCATGAAAACAACATAATAACAGTGTTCTGTAAAAAAAAAAACATATAATCCTCTCCAACATAACTTCAGGAATCATCGTGGTAATCCTTAAAAACCAACAAAACCAAATTTTATACATTTCCAAAGGACTAAAAAGATTTAAAGTATTTATCGACCACACTTTAAAACATCAAACCGTCATTGATCTCTAGATATGCTTATGGCCATAACATGTTTATTAAACTCTCTCTCCAAACAGTCCTTGATAAGGTGTTACTGGAGACTGAGCGCTAATAACAGAGACCAAGAGGAAAATGAAGGTTTCTGGGCATCAACATCACATCAATGGTGCTAAAACAGGCCTTGTTATCCCGCAGCTAAATTCAGCCTGTCGATTCATTTACACTGAAGTTCACTTTGTGATCGATACCGTGCTGCTGAGCGTGGCCTTTTAAAAAAATCAACAGTAACAGTTGGCTTCTCATGTTTCCTGTTGCTAAAAAAAGCTACAGTTACAAATAAAGTTACACTGCATAGTACTAGGGACTTTTATCACCAGGAACCATCATTTATGTGTACATCAGGGGTTTCATCAATTTGTCACTGTTCCTGCTCTCTATCTGCTGGTCTCTGTCAATGTCCAACACATCAAAAATGCATAAACATACCCTGAATTCCATGTGGGGGCATCAGTGAAAGTCTTTTGTAAAGAATAAGTCATTGTTTAAGAGAAGAAAATAAAAACACTTCTTTCAAAGTAGTTGCTTGACATCCCAGTTTTTAAACAATGGTGAGCCAAATTGATAGCAGTCAGTTCCAGGTCAGTCAGAAAGTTGTGTGCTGTGAGCTCAGTCATGTCAAGTGCATGTATTCACTGATAGCAAGTAACAAGAAAATCAAGTAAATAACAAGTAAAGAGAGAGTCAGACAAACAAAGAGGAACTGTTTCTTTAGCATCTCCATTTGGTTCATGGCCATGTTTAAACAACACCTAATAATAACATGCTGAACAAAAAAACTGTCTGATGAAAAAGTAAAAGAACATAAAGAAACAAAGTATTGGTTCTCAAAGTGGGGGCTGTGAAGCCATGGTGGGCGAGGGTGAGTTTATGAACCAGTGGCTTAAAGTAATGAGAGAAAAAATAGTTTGTGACTTCCTTTAGTCCTTCAGCTAAATGCTAATTAATTAGCATCTATATCACACCTGTTCATTAGAACCAAAGGGGAGAGCACACCACTCAGTGTGATGTTGTTCATGTTGTTGAGTCTCTAATCATGGCCACTGATGTGTGTTCTTATGAGTTGGTGCCGGCGTTGGGACCACACCCCTTTTTATTTAACACCTCTCGATGCATGTTTGTTTACAGAGATGTTTGTTTTCACTCAGAGACCAAAAGTGTCATGGGTGTGTAAGATAATGAAGAGTGTTGTGATCACTTCTGTCTGACGATGAATCACGCAGGAATAAACAAGCGATGGTAAATCAGACGACTATTAGTATAAATAAAAAGTGACTAACGTTTCTCGGCGACTGCTCACATCACACCTTTTGACAGAATCTCCTTCTTTGCTGCTAAATTCCCAGGAGCCCAGGCGACATGTGGGTAAGGCATGAGAGTGGACTGAGAACTGCTGAGTCATGCGACGAAAAAGCTGAAGTGACTGTTTTAGCTGATGCTTAATGTCACTTATAAATAGCCATTTATATCTGGCTGATTAAAAACACCTTGAACCGGATCAAAGATGAATAACAAAAAGATTTTTCTACAACTCTTCTACAATTAAATTTTTTTTTACACTTGGTCTTACAGTTGAGAGTTAATAAAGAATGAACAATTCACAAATCCAATCACTGTTCACAACAGTGGCTGATACACCGAGTTTACGTGTGTTGTCTTTTAGATGAGTGTTTCTAATTCTTTGTTGAGATTTACCATAGCTACCTAAGCATTACAGCAACAGCTTCTTATCCATGTAAGCTAAAAATCTCACAAATTCTTTAGAGAACTCGGTGTGGGACAGGGTGTTTACAAAGTACTCACCAAAAAAAAAAAGAAATTAAGGAAAACAACCCAGTGAACCAGTGATGTTTTGTGCTGTCGGAGCACTAACCACTTTAGCCAGCGTGCAGTTTCTGAAGAGGCTAAAATCACAGTTTTTCTGCTGCCCTTTGCTGGCAGCCTTCATTAAAACGTTCAACTCAGTCTCTCAGGCTCTTGCTGGTTGGTGCAGCAGGGGGCCTCACACAACCACACCTAATTGTAACAAGTTTCCACTTTCAAGTCAAGAGATTTTTTCCCCCTTGTTAACTAAGACCCAATGTTTCCATGTAGAAAGACAACAGTCAAAATCACTCCTCTTTCCATCTCCTGCTGCTGCACTCCCTGCCAGCTCCTTCTACACACCTCCCCTTTAAACCTATAGCTGCTTCAGCTTTATCATTTTTCAACAAATACCCGCCTCGCTCCTCCTCTTACCTTGCAACTGTTTGAACCTTCCTTCCAGTTGGTTGTAGTTAAACGCAGCCTGACCAGAGAATCCTGGTCCAGGACTGGACCCCCGAATAGGACTGAGACTGGGACTCTGGCCCCGACGTGGGCTAGGGCTGAGAGAGGGTCCGGCTCCTGGAGACAGAGGCCTTGCATATTCTGAGGATGGAGAGAGTGGCCCAGGAGAAAGTGTTCCAGACAGAGCTGTGGCACTCTGAAGCTCCATGAAGAAACTCCTCAAAGAAACACAGCAGGTTCACAGGAGACAGAAACTAAGGTCTCAGGTTCCTGCTCCAAACTGAACCAGGATCACCTTTAGAAGAAGCAGCGCATTGAGGGGGACATAAGAGCTTGAGGTGGTTTCGGATTCCTGCTCCAGGAACCTGGATCAGGTTTCTGGACCTGCTGGAAGCTCCTGTATCCAGAAGAAGAAGGCTAATAAAGTCCCCCACACGCAGTAGTCCACTTCACTCAAACTCGCACCTGACTTTAAACCTGAGTTCAAAGCTGAGTTTGACAATGCCACATTGGAAGAGAGAGGTCAGGGGCGAGAGGCACAGGAGATGAACTGCAGCGGTTCCCTTGGTCTCTCTCTCTCTCCGTCTCGCTCAAATCAGCAGACGCTTATTGTCCTCAGATGTCACACCTTCATCTGAATCCTCCACCCACACATGCACGCAGACATGTGCATGTAGGCATGTGCACGTCTGGGATGCCACACAACCACGAGATGAAGATAGAGAGAGATCGCAATAAGGAGGGAGAAGGAGACAGAGAGAGGGAGAGAAACAGAGGGAGTGCTTGCCCAGCAGCAGCTCACACACTGAAAACCTCCAGACTGAATCCAAGTGCAGGGGGAAGGGACGAGGATCAGCAGCCAATCACAGACACCGATCTCAGCTGTGATGTCAGCTCATTAGCATAAAGGGTGGAGGGAGGACAGAAAGCATCCCCTTGTTTACAATGAATCAAAATGATGTTTTTAACAAATAAAGATTATGATGTATCAGTTCAGTGATGGCGAGAGGTTAAAGAAGAAGAGTGTAGAATATGAAGCTATTGAATTAATAATGTCAAGGTGATGTGTGGGACACAGAAAACAGAAACAAGATTTTCACATGATCTGTGTTGACGTGTGTGTGCAGGGGGGGGTTCTTTTTGAGCCAGCCAACAGATTCTAAAGCCATAAGATGTATGACTTTGACGCTGATGTTATTGATATAAGTAATAATTCATTCATTCATCAGACAGTTACTGACTGCCTATCTCCAGCCTCAAAGACTCAGCTGTCAAACTGTTCCGTTTGTGTCCCAGCAGGGCGGCAGCAGCAGTAACAGTGACAGTATTAGCACCTGCAGACACAGTAAGAGGAACTGAAAAGGCAGTAACATCAACAGCAGTTGTAGTAATGGCTGCAGATGTGACAGCAACATCTGCTTCACTGATGGGTAGGCTCACTGAGGGAAATAAAACAACTGCCATCTGTCACACTTGTTGGTTCTATGTAAAAAAAAAAAAGATTTTTTTTGTCTCATTAGAAGCGTTAACAGCGGAGGCTAGACGAGGCTAAGTCTGCATCTATTAGAGGCCTACTGAGTATCACATTCTCAACAGCTGAGTCATAGTCAGCTCAATGTTACACCTACAGTTCCACCCATGGACGTTTTCACTTTTTTTGTCAATCATTGACAGACGGAATCAAAATAAAAATGTCAACAACAAAAAAAACCAAGACTGCCACACCAGAGTCCACAAGGAAAGGCTGTGATTTTCCATCACAGCTCACAGGAGTGCTGATACATTACTGTATCCACACTACTCCTGGAGAGGTCAAATCAATACTTTTCTCTGAGGAGGGCATTTAGTTATGTGCAAGTAAAGTGAAGTTTTTGAATTTGAACTTGATAAGCTGTTCCAAAAACTGGCTCTGACCAGCACAACACGGAACTAAGATATTAAATATATGTAAAAAAGAAAGACTTGGAACCAAACTTGAAATATTTAAATTGATTATTATTACAGGAGTTCAATAAGGACTCATTTCTAAATGTTCATACATTCAGAATTTTTGAAACCCTTACTATTTAGTTCTTTTTCTCTCGTAGTGTAAATCAGTTTTAGGCAGTGCCCTACAGAAACCCATCTAACGCCAGCAATTTTCTTCACAGCCCTTTCTGCTGCAGCCTCGATCACAAACTCAGATCATGAGAGAGAACTGGGCCCTGTAGGAAGCAGAGTTTGACAACGAGAGTATTCAAAGATTGTATTCAACCTCCAGATAATGTACAGCCCTTCATTAAGATGATTGATTTCAGAGTAAACAGAACCTGGAGGTAGCGCAGCCTTTAGATTAAGTGGGTTGTACATTTGTCAAACGGCTGCAACAAGTTTTCCCTGCTGTGTTAACTGAGCTCATGTCTGCCCCGGGGGCAGTTTCTCACCACAATCACATGACTGAGTTAATAACTCGGACAAATGCGCTTCAGTTATAAGGATATATTGCGTAAAGGACAGAACTGCTTCAAAATTAAAGCACAATGAAAGCGTTCATTTAATTACATCCACATCACGTTGTGTTTCCTGCCGTCATCTGGATTCCTCGTGCCTCGACGCCCCGAGACCAAGAATACTACCGTTTTGGTCGGTGTTTGGAGTAAACGCTGTCACTCGCTGCAATCTTCTATGAACTTCTCCCCAATCAGGTGATTTGAACTGTTAGATAAGCTACTCAGAGAGAGATCAGCTGATCTTCTGATTTTCAGCCAATTTAAAGCCCGTCAGAAGTTATCAGCATTCACAGGCTCAGATAAAAAAACATTGATCAAATGACCATTCAGGTTAAGTGCAGCTCTGGACCTGAAGAACTCTCAGATACTGTTACACAGCCCTGCTGGGCTTCACATGTCTTAGCGTTAACAATATGTTATATGGGATGTGATGTTGTTCCCTATCACTGTGATCTGTCCCATCACTCCATGTTCACAGCAGTACTCTCCAGTTTTAGTTAGAAATGAGAACAAAGTCGTGGACTATGTTTTAGATGTAGGTTTTTAGGTTCAGGGTTCAATCATTTCTCACTGCAGTAGTGAATTTCACACAGACTTGTCACCGTAAACTGAACCTACCATGACCCCTGCTCTGACTCCACCCTTCCACTCAGACCCCGCCTCTACCTTGACAGTACAGGCGGCCATGTTGGAAAAAGTTTTATCTTGGTGTCAGCCACTTTAAACATGTAAGCTTTGTTAGAATGGAATTATTAAATTATCTTTTTATTTTATATTATAATAAAATATATTACATACAATATATATTATACATTTGAGGTGAATCTGGAATAGCCACCCCCTGTGGATATGGGGTGTATAGCAGCTCACACACACTTGCAGGATGTGCATAAATCTTTGGGGATTCTGACTAAAATTAAAAAGCAGGATGAAGGAGAGAAAGAAAGACTTGGGAAGTAAAATGAATGTCGGAAAATGCCAGCCACATCTAAACTAACATTCAAGCCCACATCCTAGGAATGCCACACGTTAATAACTAGTTCATAGCACACGATAAAGAAATAAAGTCCGCCATTAGCTTTCAAGATTTACTTGTTGGTTTGTTTGATCGCTGTGCTTTAATTTGAACTACATCGTAAACTCTCCCTGACGCAGAGTTCAGACTCTGAACATCAGAGTGGTGAGTACAATGTCAACTACAGACATTTTACACATTTAAATAATCCTCCATTTCAGTTAGATGTAAACAAAAACAGCAACACAAGGTGCATCTGACTTACTAAACATAAATATAAAATATAAACTTTTTTGTCGAACCAAAACTATTGTTAGTTGAACTAATATTCAAACTCTGCGTTTATGTTTTCGTTTCTTTGCTACTGTTGAACTGATTCAACCTAAACACCACTACACTTACAGTTAAATATTTTAGAAAGCTACAAGATATTAAAGAAAAACTCACATTTTTGAGTCACAGACGGAGGGAAAAAAAGTCTGTTTGATTTGAGCTCTACTTCTGAAATGTCAACAACAGCACCCAATAATGTCTTGTGTTCCTAAGCTTGTTATCACTGAGCAAACACCTGTTCCATTCAAGGCTAATTTAATCAAGGTCACTCCTTGTTGTCCCATTATATCCTCACCAACATTAAAAAAACTTGGGGTTCGGACAGAAATGTTGATTAACGAACTACGGTCAGAAAATAGACACACATCCACATAAATGTACACATGTGCACACACTCACTCTTCTTCTGTCTTGGCTGTAAGCAGATCTGTTGATGTTTCCATAGTGACCACCAGTTTTGTGTTTCCCAGGATATCATGTGGAGAAACACACTAACAGACTGTCTTACGCACAGACTGACAGTCATAGAAATACTAATAGCCAAACTTGGCAGACATTCCGACCTGGGATTTTAACGTTTTCCACGGATGTTGCGACAGAACAATTTCAGTTTCGAATTGATAGCCCTGTTGCACATTGTTACACAAGGCCACTGCATCAACATTAATAAGAAAAAAGACAATTTCAAGACATCCACAAGGGATACACAAGTGTGAATTATTTGGTGAAGTCTGACGTGGGAAAAAGAGAGACTGAGAGAAGAGAATGATTAGGGGAGGGTGAGGGAGGGAGACAGAAAGAGAGAGAAAGAGAGAGAGAAGGTAAATCAGAAAGTAAATCAGAGAAAGAGAAAAATGGCAACTGGTGTGTTTGTGTTTGCACATTTACATACTGTCACTACATATTAAGACAAAACCAGGATACAAACTTCAGAGTTAAAAAGACTATTCTCGGTCTGTGACTCCAGACTAGGCCAGCAGGTGTCAGAAGAGTACAACCAGTACAGAAATAAAGTTTAAATAAAGAAAGAGTTGTGGTTTCTTTCCAAACATTACAGGAACAAATATCAGCACTTAAGTTAAATGTATAGGACTGTTCTCTGAACTAATATTCAGATGCGAATGCGCCACAAACTGGGAATTAAATGTTAGATATACCTAATTCCCGTTGGTCAGTTAAGATACCATAGGTTAGCCAGATATAATGACGTGTTCCTGGGGACATCTTGGTCTGGAGTACTGCTTGAGGCCAATAACCACACTTAGCTTTATAACATCTACGGTACATAAAGTAATGACTAGCAAACAGCTTCAAATTACTTTAATTGTGCTAAGTAAGCCAAACATTGCTCAAACCAATCACTTCAATTGAATATGCGTAATAATGGAAGCTAACATAAAAAGTTTAGTTCAAGTTAGCCTGATAATATCAAATTTGCTAACTACTCAACCATTCAACTGCAAAATCTGTGATTTCTGATCAGATGAGAGTCTGGATGTATTGTCTCAGCATTGGTTAGCCTGTCTAAAGACTTACCTGCAAGAGCTTTAATGCGGGAGCGCTCAAAAAGTCTTGCCGAGCTGTTTTCGTTGTCCCAGTTCTCGTCCGCATCCCATCGATTGTTGACGCCATCGCTGAAAGGCTGCTGAATCTCCATGTGTTCCAACTCTGCTGCCACAGATGTCATTGTGACCTTGGTTTGACTCTGCCCCCACCACCGCCTCTGAGTCCACCCCCTGCTGGATGCTGTTGGTACAACAACGTGATGTCCTCACTCGATCTGGGCGTCGAACCTCTGCTGGGAACTAGTCCAGAAACCTGAAGGGGTAAAAATTAAAGAGATGAAGAAGTGATGAAACTGAAAGAGTACTTTGATTAAAAAAAGACATTTGACACAGAAAAGTGTTTAAAAGGTTATTTGTATATAGTTGATACATATGTATATCATCAAGATACCCATCAAGATACCCTTTTACTCTACCAAAGTCTGTTCAACTATTACATTTGTTGGAAACATATTCTTCATGGACTAGGACATGAAAAAAGTGAATGAACCTCAAATAAAACTGCATTAAAAGCAGCAGCAAAGAATGTG